GGGCCTTCGCTCAAAGCTCTGCTTGTATTTTTCAGGTAGTTGTATCTCTATCATTCCTTATCTTATGCAGTGGGGTCACCATAATGAAGTGGGTATCTCCCCAAATAGTACTAGAAAATGTAATACTATATTTCTATGAAAGGAAAGTGTATAATATGCAGTGGTGTCACCACAATGAAGTGGGTATCTCCCCAAATAGTACTAGAAAATGTAATAATTATATTTCTATGGAGGGATGTATAATGTGCAGTGGGGTCATAACATTCATAATGACACCAGATGTAACCCTATAATATTAATCCCCCTCTAGTTACTAATTTGGATACATGTATGGTATTAAACCAATGGTACATTATGTTTCTATTTCTTATTTATTTAAACTGAAAATTCAGTCTTCTAGCTTTTACTATAAATTTTGCTAAAACTAATTCATACACCTGCTTCTGATTTTCCTTTTCTTTCAAAATATCTTTGTGTTGAAATTCTACATAAAGAACCTAAATGCAAGTCAGTCATAGTACTCCGGAGATAAGACTTTTTGAAGGTTTGGAACATTAAACAAGGGTTCATCCCAGGTTGAACATCTTGCCAGGATCTTTTAAGATCTTGTAAGATCTTGTGAAATCATGCTAAGATCTTGTCAAGAAATTATCGTGGCAAGATCTTGCTATGATCTTGGCAAGAATTTCTTATTTTCCTGCCAAGATCTTGATACATTTTAAAAAAAAAGTTAAAGTACACCTTTGTCAAGATCTTGCCATGATCATTTCAAGATGTCCACAAGATCCTGCCATGATTTTACTATAATGTTGTCAAGATCTTGCCGTGATAGTTCAATATCTTTCCATGATCGTTCAAGATCATGCCATGAACTAGTCAAGATTTCCACAAGATGTTGCCATGATTTTACTATAATGTTGTCAAGATCTTGCCATGATCTTTCAAAATCTTGCCATGATTATGTCAAGATTTCCACAAGATCTGGCCATGATTTTACTATAATGTTGTCAAGATCTTGCCGTGATAGTTCAATATCTTGCCATGATTGTTCAAGATCGTGCCATGATCTTGTTAAGATTTCCACAAGATCTTGCCATGATCTTGCCATGATATTACTATAATGTTGTCAAGATCTTGCCATGATTTTGTCAAGATTTTCACAAGATCTTGGCATGATTTTACTATGATCTTGTTACAATCTTGCCAGGATCTTGTCATGACCTTTCAAAATCTTCGTTTGCATGACCTTGTCAAGATTTCTACAAGATCTTGGCATGATTTTACTATAATCTTGTCTTTCAAGATCTTGGCATGATCGTGTGAAGATTTCCACAAGATCAGAGCATTAATTAGTGGGGAGGGGTGAATAGAGATGACAAAATAGAGCAAAAGATCAAGATACTGGAAAAGCATATGTCGAAGAACTGTTTAAAATCGTTCAAGAGTTAAGAGAAATAAAACAAGAGTAACAAATTAAGACGTCACATGTAAGTAGTTATGATATTGATGATCATTCAATGTTCCATCTTCAATGAGTAATTCTTTCATAAAAATGCATATATTTATCAATATTATACCTCAAATTCAAATTGTCCAATCAGGAAGCTTAGGTTGTGGCACGTGAGCATGAAATTAATCGCGATATCATGCCTTACGTCATCGATTAGGGAGCCTGCGTTCCTTTTGACAATGTTCCACCCATGTTCCCCGGGGAACATGGGGTCACAGAATAGGAAGGTACAGCAGAAGTGTAACTCGAGCAAGTATTTGTCCGTGTTTTTACAAGCGATGCATCATCAATCACGCCATCCTGGCTAGTATAACCGGCACTTTGTATCTAACAAAACCAGATAAAAACTTCCGGTTGTGCTAGCCAGGATGGCGTGAGAGTTAAAATTTTTGTGGACGTAAAACAATAAACGAAACAACTCAAGTTACACTTCTTCTGTTCCTTCTTATTCTGTGATGGGGTGGAACATTATTCGCATGGACCACGTGAGACAACACGCATGCCAACAACATGGCCGACAAAATATAAATAGTATTGATGAATGATGAATAATCAAAATTTAAACGTAAAGCCTGGGGCTTTTTCAAAATTTTGAAGCAAATTTTGAAAAATGTTGTCATTAATATTCCAAACGATATGTGATTTGAAAGAAAAGCGACTATACTTGCGTTAATTTGAAAGTAAAACATCTTTTTTTTGACGTTTTTGTAGCTATACTTGCACTATTTTATATAAATATTTATCAACATATTTGTGGTTCCCAAGAGAATTTATAATATTAAGTGTATTTTATAATTTGTATGTTTTAATCGATCTTCTCAAATTCAAGTTTGAATGTCACCTTTAATTTTAGCATTTAATCATCGTAACAATGTCTCATCAATGGTAAGATAAATGTAAAATTTTAGCAAGATCATTGATAACTTCGGGCCTGGTAAGATTGTAATCATACATGGCTGGATTTTGAGAACCTGCAGGATTCTTGGCAAAATCATGGCAGGGACATGACAAATCACTGCAATATCATAACGATATCATGGTAAGATCCTGCAGGATTTAAGCAGAATTGACAGCAAGATCTTCGTAAGATCATGGCAAGATATTCGTAAGATCATGGGAAGATCATGGCAAGATCTTTTGTAAGATCATGGAAATATCATGGCAAGTTCTTCGTAAGATCTTCGTAAGTTCATGGAAATATCATGGCAAGTTCTTTGTAAGATCTTCGTAAGATCATGGCAAGATCTTCGTAAGATCATGGCAAGATATTCGTAAGATCATGGCAAGATCATGACAAGATCATGGCAAGCTCTTCGTAAGATCATGGAAATATCATGGCAAGTTCTTTGTAAGATCTTGGCAACATCTTCGTAAGATCATCGTGTGATCTTTGTAAGATCATGGCAAGATCATCGCGAGATCTTCGTAAGATCATGGCAAGATAATGGCAAGATCTTTGTAAGATCATGGCAAGGTCATGGCAAGATCTTGCAGGATCTTACAAAGATCTTGCAAGAACTTGCAGGATTTATACAAGATCTTTGTAAGATCATGACAAGATGATGGCAAGATCGTGGTAAGATCATGGCAAGATCATGGTAAGATCTTGCCAAGATCATCAACCTGGATATACTTCTCAGTCAACTGTTGGATCTTATCAGCCAGGACAGTACCATCAACCCACTGTGGAAATATTTTTGGATTTACCAAATCAAAAAAAGGAAAACTCTCAACATCACAAAAACGATTCTCTGTCATAGCAACAATGTTGTCAATGACTTCAAAATAGAGGGATTTGTAGTTGATGGCTTGCTCAGACCTTGTCGAAGGGGCACCACCAGCCTGTGCTAGAGCATCAGTATAACATCTCAAATGCAGCATCATTACACAAACCATCACAAAGATGTTTGCTAAAATCATGCATTTTATCAACTGCATATGAAAAATGAACAGACCTATCTTGTAGAATATCATACAGAATGGATGACTTTTGCAAAATTTTAAAATACAGCTCAAGTAAAAAGCATAAAAGGAAACATTCTAGACTATGAAGAAGGCCATCAGCTTTCTCAACTGTTTCATCAGACCAATTTTGGGGGTTATCAGTGATCTCAGTTAAAGCTATCTTAATCACATCAAAGCCTTGAGATATAGCCTTAACAGTTCTTGACTTGTAGTACCACCTTGTTTCTCCTGGATTAGGAATATCAACACCATAAGCATTGAAATGAGCCTTCCGATCAGAACTAGGCTTACTGAAAGTACAAAATGCAGATATCTTGGAGAAAAACAGTTTAACTTCCTTGATATTTAAGGCAGATTGGCAAAGTACTAGATTTAGTCTATGCGCTGCACAATGGAAAAAGAAAGCAAAGGGGTAATCTTGACGAATCAAGGTTTGAAGACCATTAATATGACCACTCATCACAGCAGCTCCATCATAGGTCTGCATTATGAGCTTAGATTTCAAGGAATCACTATATTTGTTTAAACCATTTTTAATGACCTCACTAAGGGCTGGGGCAGTTTGCCCTGCACTAACATTGTGAAATTTCAGAAACTGTTCCACAACTTCACAACCCAAATCCAGATGAACAATTACACAAAGCTGCTCCTTAGTTGATACATCTAATGTCTTGTCACATTGAATGCTTATGAACTAAAACTCACTAATCTCTTTATCTATTTCATCCTGAATGATGTGATCTAAACATGCAATTAAATCATTTTGAACATCTGAACATCCCCCCCCCCCCCACACACTCTGGCCTTTCTGTGGCTTCCAGCCTACCATTTAAATGCCTATCAAAGACAGAATCCAATTTACAAAGAGATTGCAAGAGCTCTCTATAATTGCCCTTATTGAGGCTGGTGGTGGACTCCTCATGCCCCCTGAATGCAAGTTCTTGCTGGCTAAATACAGCACAGCTTCACTGAATTTTTCCAACATTTCCCTATTTTGCCTTACTCCCTCATTGTACCTCTCTATAGCCTCCCTCCTTGCTCTGGAAAACAGCACATCTACACTCTCATGGCTACCAATATTAAAGGTTTTTAAAGTTTTATAACACTCCATATGCGCCCTGGCGGCTGGCGCTCTCATGCTTTTGGCAGTCACTCAAGAAGCTATGCATATTAACATAGCCAGTATAGGTCCAAGTAGTTGACTTGGAGTTAAATAATAAACAAGGCCAACAAATGAGGCTTTTCCTTACCTCACTAGCACACAACCAGTCCTTTCTTGAATACCAAGACTCTTGGAAACTTTGTTTCCCAGTTTTCCAGAGAAGCTTTGGCATTGGACGTGTCATACAAGCTATAGCCTTTTGTTCACTTTGACTTCGCGAACTAAAAGACCTTTGTAAGAGATCCAAAATAACATCTCGCGAGCTCTCACACACGCTTGGTTGAATTGGATTAATTTCCATATTCATAAAGTATTTCGCCACCGGAAGATGAATAATTCAGAAAATATTCAAAGGTTTATCATGCGTCGAAGCTCGAGCAGGAGTAAAAGGCATATTTCAGCGTGTTTTGCATTCTTGAGAGCTGTTTTAGCCAATGAAATGTGTTAGAATTTTATGTTTGTCCTGCTCGCCTGAGTTGAGCAGGACTAAACTTTGGGCAAGCCACCCATTTTTCCTGCTTTTGCCTGCATGCAGGCAAAGTCTTGATACTCATTAAAAATAAGTTAAATAACATTAACTTACATAATGAATTTCTCTGTTTAAGAATTTCTGCACAACATACTGAATTAACTATTAAGTTAAGAAAATGAAACCACATATGCCAAGCTATATAAAAGTGTTTTCTTTTAAACATTATATGCATAAAAAATTCATTATCTGAAATTTTGTATGTCATGCTGAGCAGGACAAACAGGACATCTGGCTTCGCCACTGTTTATTACCAATGGGTTCTGCATCACAAGAAGCTATTGTGATATTAGGCAATAAGCTGTTATCCCAATCGTTTATGGTAATACTTACTAATTGCTCTGTATTGATAGACTCATTTCCTTCGGCGTCATTAGCATCACGACCATGCATTTCTGCCATTTCATTTACATGTCCAGCATGTAGATTTTTGTATTCAGCAGATCGGTCAGATTTTTTCCGCCAACTTATTAATTTTGTCCATAAAGACCTGAAATTGCAAAACAACAGCACCCATATGACTAATCGTGTCCGACAATGCTTGAATTGCCTCCTCATTTGACTGCTGTCCTTGCTTAAGATCCACAATTTCTGTTGAAGCGTGAGACGATTCACTCAAATAATCACAAATATATCTGCAAACTTCCCTCTTCAGTTGATTTGCCTTTACTCCTTCAATAGTTGGAATGTTTTTATTCTTTCTCCATACGATAGAGGCGTCCTCAACAACAAAAACCTTTTTATCGCCTCCAGGTTGAGACCAGGTACCAGTCAGCTTCAAAGACTCAGCTACAAAGTATTTTAGTGATTTGAAATAACCCATCCAGGATAGGCCAAGCGATTTCATTGTTGATTCAGTTTGCTTTCTGCTACGGTTTATTTCACCTGTGCTCAAGGAATCATATTTGCAAAGTCGAGTAACGAACTAGCCAAATTTTGGCTTGGGCTAGCGGAGCTAAAAATAACATGTCTAACCGCCATTAGCGATATGTATCAATGAACAAAGGTATTCCTCTATCTGTGTGTGTAGATGCTCTCACATTTAACCCTTGCTAGCTCATTCTCCGTGTTTTCAATCCCACCGGTTCGTGTGAAGATTGGGATTAGGATCGAAAGCTTTGCAATAATAAAATATGTGGTGTATCCACAAACGATAACTTATATTATTTATTGTCATGCAAAATTGCAACTGAAGGTATTTTGGGATTGTTGTGGGGCCATTGTGGGGTTGTTGTGGGTCATTGTGGCTCGTTCCATGTTTTAGTAACTACGTACTTTACTAGTGTTGGACCCGATATTGCCAATACCATTGAAAACAGTGACACAAATTTTATGGATTATTTAACGAAAACTACAACAAGTGTTTTCAAATTTAAAGCAGTTTCTGTGGCCAAAGCAAATAAATTTCTTCTGTCCTTAAATGCCTGTAAATCTACTGGAATTGATCAAATTCCCACCAAAATAATTCGAATTGCTGCTCCAGTAATTGCTTACCCGTTAACCAAGATTTTCACTACTGCAATTTTTAATGAAACTGTTCCATTTGAATGGAAAATAGCAAGTTATTCCTTTACACAAAAAAGGTCCACAAAACGTATTTAATAATTATCGTCCTATTTCCATTCTACTGTTATTAGTAAAGTTTTTGAAAAAAATACTATATGAACAATTATATGATTATTTTGTTTAGAATAATTTGCTATCTGATTGTCAATTTGGCTTTAGACAGTTTCATTCCGTAGCATCTGCCCTTTTAGATAACACAAATGAATGGTTTATTAATATGGACTGTGGTAAAATTAACATCACAGTATTTCTTGACTTACAAAAAGCTTTTGATACTATAAACCACAATATTTTACTTAAGAAACTTGATATGTATGGCATGGAATTACCAGCCTTAAATCTACTAAAAAGTAATTTAACTAACAGAACGCAAATGTGCTCAGTTAACGGTGTATTATCTGGTACAAAGATAGTTAGATGTGGGATTCCTCAAGGTTCCATTCTTGGCCCACTTCGATTCTTAATCTATACTAGAAAATACATGCATGCAGAAACCCTTGCCTTGCTGACAAAACCATTGTATTTTCCGAACATGAAGTTCCAAAGTAGTTGTCATGGTAACACGATAATTTTTTAAGAATATTCTTACAAATGAAAAATCGCCTAAAAATATCACTTTTAATTACAAAATTATTAATTTCCCAGCATATATATGTTATGTATGTTATTATACGTAATATACAGTAAGCCTCAAGTTAAGGCAAAGTTCAACCACAAACGCTTCGCAAATCGTTTTAAAGTCACTAGTGTTCTTTATAAAACTAAACTGCATTTTAAAGATGCGACACAACTCCGTCTGCGCATGTGCCGCTAGGAGCCCCCCTGTTGTGAATGTAAACAAAGAATAACTAATAATTATTATAATAACTAATTGTTCTATTTGAGATGGAATACTGTCGTCGATGGAGGGTTTATTATTTAGCATTATTAATTTTGTATTTTTCCATCGATTCGTAACCTGCATTTTTACGTTTTCAGTTTAATTTCCTGGGCGATAGGCCGTGGCTGATGGGGGGCCCTAACTGAGCGTTACGCCACTGAGGGGGACGTTGGGTGAGGAAAGGGGGGAGGGGCAGCTTCAACTATTTTTGCCTGAATTGGGGATGGCCTCAAAATATGTGACAAGGGGCGACCCCAAATTTTTAATACTTTCCTACTCATTTTCAATCTCTTGCCTTTATCATATTGCAAAATATTTCACCTTTTTTAGTTTCTATAATCGTTCATGATAGGAGTTAGAGTAATAGACCGTTTGCGGCGTCCCGATATCGTTCACTTTCGTAGTCCATGTGGTGGAACTGAAATATTTTTACGGGAACTAGCACTTTCAAACACGCTGAGTTCAAATCCGAAAACTGGTTTCCGCTCCGTAGGTCTTGCGTTTTCTCACAAACTAGTATTTTATTTTCTCTAATTTCACGACTAACTTTTTCTTTGTTCAATGACACAGATGGACGATGACACACTCTTATGTCACTCAAAAGGACTAATTTTTATCAACTATTCTTCCTTTTAACAAAAGACCGTTTCGCTCGAATCATTTTGAGTTATGTAATCTTATGCGTGTTGAACGTAAACAACATATATCGTTTACAACTTTGG